CCCCCCCCCCCCGCCATTGGGGGGGCCGCGATCCCGCGGCTCGCGGAATGGCCGCCGCGCACGTCAATTAGGAAGAGGTGAGGCGAGCGGCCCCGCCTCTTATCCGGCCGCGGGGTGTGCTGGGAGTTGTAGTTTCGCCGGCGGCTGGGGGCGGAGCGGGCGTGCGGCCTGTGCGGGGCCGCCCGGGGCCTGCTGCCCCCTCACGGCGGGGTGGCGGCTGTCCCTTGGGAGCTCGTCCTCGGTCCCAGGGTTAGTTCATCTCTAGGGGCTCTGAAAGGGGCGGCCGAGGCAGGACTGTGCTTTTGCTGTCTTCTGCAATGTTGTTGTGCCGGGGCGGGGGCACGTGTGAGTCTTCTGGAAATGTTTCACACGCACTGAGCACAATTCATCAGAGCCATCAACCTGGGAGGTCGTTACCTGTCGCATCTAATTAGCCCAGATCCTGTATGTAACTCGTTACAGCCACTTGCAGAGGTGTTTCGATGCCCTCTCCTCAGCATCGAAAAGGGTTTTCCCAACTGCTTTGCCTCGACGCGCAGATGCTCTGGCGGTCCCTGGATCTTGCTGCCCCGTGCCCGGCCGCTTGGCTCTTTGCAGGTGAGCTCATAGCTTTTCCTGGTGATGTTTCTTGCCTTCTCCCCTGGGTGAACAGTGCTTAGAGATTTGTACTAGCTATTTTTTTCTGCTTGCCATTCCAACATATTTGCCTCTGTGCCTTTGGTTTCATTTAAATAAAATACCTGTGCTCGCTAGGGCAGGTCGGATTACCTGGCCAGGCAGTCGCTGAGTGGGGACTTTGCCTCCTTACCGGGGCTGACTGGGAAGAGGGAGCCAAGTGCCACCCAGCAGCGACTTGTGTTACAGGAGGTGTGAGCACCCTGCCTCCGATGCTCGTCGCAGGGCTGAAGCCCCTCGGTCTTCCTCAGGTAACCTGGGCCTCCTTGCACCGCGCTTGCATGTGAAGGCTTTTGCGGTCCAGCCATTTACACTGAAATAAGAGACCTCTGGAACGCGCAGCTTTCAGCACTAAAAGGGTTTCTTAATGAGTCTGTCACTAAGATCAGTCAGGTGAAACCTCTGATTTTGTAAGTCTGTTTTGTTAGATGATTTAAGAGTCAGCCTTGTTCACTTACCCTCGTCATCTTCTTGGCTGCAAGTAGTGTAACAAATATGTAAATGAATGAATCATGAATTATTCATGCACCTGTTTCCGTGGAGCAGGATGAGTGTAGAGGCATTGCTGACTCTCAGTTACCTGTGCGTGGATGAACCAGGTTGTGGATGGTCTGGGCCACAGGCACCAGCTGAGGCAGCAGTCTGAATGCAGCTGAATTGCTTCCAGGCTCGCCTGGCTCCAATGGCACTACAGCTGCTTTTGTAACATAATGCCAGCAAGTCCTGCTAGCCCTTTGCTGATCACCTCAGGTTTCTGTGTACCACATTGCTGGAACAGGAATACTAGAGAAGGTGCTCTAGTGGCCAGGGGCAGAGTGGTTCTGGATGGGATCAGCTGCCTCCAACATCAAGTTATCCACATTGGTCAGGAGGAATGTGGTATTTTTAATGTTATTCTGCATATTCTGTTGCAAGAACTGCCACTGCTGAAAAATCAGTAGGCTATAGGAATATATTGACATTTTTCCCAAAAGACTCACATTCTTTTACATTCCTCAAAACATTGATTCTGAAGATGAGATGACTTTATGCATCAGATGCTAAAGTAGCAATAGGGCTATTTGTGACTTCTGAAGTAAAAATTCTGCAGCTGGATTATTGAGATTCCTCTATTCCTCAGTCCTTTCATTTGAGAGCAGGGAAAACATGGAGAAGGAAATAGTTATGATTCAGCTTGATTGTGATTCAGTAAGGATTTTGAAAACTGGGTCCAACATCACAGGGGAAGGGGCAGAAGCATGCCGTATGATGGGTTTTTGAAATTTCCATATTACCTACCTAAATACACCTGCCTATCTATTTGCTTAATGATGATTTTATATTTTTCTTAAATTCTCAAAACACAAGACACATCAAAAAGTTTAACAGGAACGATTCAGCTATGCAAGATCCCAGACCATGACTGTCGGCCCTGTTAATTGCTAGCTTCTGGAAAACCGAGGTGTTACAGTCACCACTTGGCTTTGTTGTTCTGGAATACAATGCAACAGAATGCTGAACAACCACAAAGGAAGATAAACTCCCTGCCACCAAGGGTTTGACATTTTAAGCTATTACAATCCCCTACTAGACACAGTGTCATAGTTCCCTCTTCTCTGTTGTTCCACTATCATTCCTTCTTTTCACTCTCCCATGTTCCTTAACTCTTCCTAGTGAGCATGAGTCCTACATGACTTTCGTGGACTACTGTAGCATTTACTTTGAATGAAAAATAAAGCACATTTTATCAGCTTGTGGAAGTGATCTTCACAGCTAGGTGGCAACAAAAGAATTCCATTAGGCTTCCTTCAGTAAAAAGTGAGAAATGTAATGTTGTAAGAGCATTAAAAGCAGCTGCCTGACTCTAATGTCAACGACAGTCTCCTTCAATTTAAATATTTGCAATAGCTGTAATTAAACACTTAGTAACTGGCATCGAGTTAAAATAGAAATACATTACATAGTCTTACTGCTGTGCAGATTTTAATTCAGATTTATATCCTCCTTGGCTTTGTGCCTAGAATAAGTCTTGTGATTTAAAGGCTGTTTTACACAGTATAGAAATTGTCATAGAGGGCAAATTATCTTCTAGGTGAGTAACAGAATTTTGCCTTTTTCTGGAAGCAGATCCCTAAAGAGATCAAGCAATGTTATGTTCTCCTTCCACTGTTTAAAGACCGAAGAGATTCACATCTGCAAATAGAGGAATGGTCTATCTGGGTCACTGAATCTAGACTCTGGCTCCTGGAAGCTATCAGATCTTCTAAACCTTCTAAACAGTTCTTCCCTCCCTCATCTTCTAAAACCAGTGTTGAAACTGGTGATCCTCTTGCAGGCAGTTACTGTCATGTAAGAAGATGTGTTAGGAACTTGGGCTGACCATGCCTTCTGAAAAGATGCATACGTAAACAAATGTTCCTCGGTTTTTGCCCTCATTTTTATTCTTTTGGAAGATGAGCACAGCAAACCGTGGCATAGTATATACAATGATAACAGAAACACAGATCTCAACACTCTTGCCCAGATATTTTCCGTTCTGCTGTAGCAGCTCTGATGGTAAGGTTTTGGTTTCTTAAAGCTTTTGATTCTAACATAAAAAAAGGTGTCATTATAGCTTAAAAATAAAATTCTATTATGAAAAAATTAACACATTTTTATTCTGTTGTGCCTGTATGACCCAAATTTTTCTAATTACTCTGTAAAGGTGAAACAAAGATTAAAATTCAACCTTGTAGTAAATGGGCACGCTGGGAGATTTCCAGCAGGCCTGAATTTGTTCCAAATGTATTTTAGTTTACTTCAGAGCGCAATATACAGACTGTGGCTCCACTTCTTGCTGCCTCGTAGGCAGCCATTTTCTGAGCTGTTTCTCTGGCCATGAAGCCATGTTGAAGGATCCTGAACTGTCGTTCCCGACTCTCTTCCAGTTCTTTCCAATGGTTCCATTGCAAAGAATCCTGCAGAAAAGACACACAGATGATCAGACTGCAGAAACGATAGTGGTTCTCTTTAGAGGATACACTGAACTTGTATTTGATAGTCTGGCTGGCTGGCAACGCAGTTATTCTGCTACCATGACTGGGAAACTTGTCAACATCAAACTGGGCATGATGAACAGAAAGGTAACTTGAGTGGGTTGCCCAGTTTAAGATGAATTAAACACAGCTGCACCACTCCACAAAACGTTAAATCAAGATAAAACTACATCTGGATGGTTTACTCCAATGCTGCTACCTTATGTGCTTTCCTTGCCAACAGGTTATTCTTGAAGCCATAAATGAACAGTTGCACAAATCCTGTCAGACTCTACGGGTTCGCTGATTCAGAAGCTGGGTTCACAAGGGAGTGTTCCCAAAAAAGCTCAGAACAAACAGAAAACTGCTACTTTTTCATCTGATTCTTTGCTTAAAATGGTAGAAAAATACATTTTTTTTCATTAACGGTACTTTTTCTTATGGTTAGTTTTCCAAATTGCAATATAAATTCTGTTTTATTGAGAATGTAATGGTCATTTATAAACAAATATTACCTTGACTTATATCAGCACAAACCCACTGGGCTTAAAGGGCCATCACAAACGTAACTGAAGCCACAATCTGGACTTGGAACTTTAATAGAAGGGGTTAGGGTCAGTTTTTTTCCTACTTATTGAGGAACCTAAAAGGTAGCCGTACAAACTGAATGCCAGATACCTATTGTGTTATAACTAAAAGGGAGGATTTTTTTCCTATAGTCACACTAACACCACTTTCAGCAATATGCAGTTCAGCTAGAATAAAGATGCTGCTGAGCCTATCTGACCAGAATTGAGCCACTTCCCCGTAGTAACATTTGGATAGGGTCATGCAGAGCTGAACAGCACTGATGGAAGATAGACCAAAACAGCTAAATAATTTATAGTAACCTTGAATTTTTTCCATTGTTTTTTCTTTTTTTTTTACAGATGTCTTAACATCTGAGCAGAACATAAACAAAAGCACTGTGACATCTTAAGAGACTCGCTGTGTAAAGCTAAGCTCAAGAAAAAGACAAAATCTAACACCAACTTTCAACCCCTGGCTTTTTTGCTCATTCATATGACAGCAGAGCACTCATACAGACCCACATCAGGTAGTCAAAAGTTCTAGCTGTGAATTTATAATTTCTCTTTGTTTGTTAAAAAAAAGTCTCACATTTGTAACTGGATGGCTGTTTTCCTTTGAAGTCTGCATTTATTGGTTCTACTTTACTCTGGACTTGATTCAGCAAAGTGTTTAAGCATGTGTTCAAAACCTCAGTTCAGAAAGCCATCCCAATTTAGGAAATGCTTTCTTCAAATAGGTCTTCAATGTTCTCTTTTCTAGAAGGGAGAGACCTTGTTGTCTATATAAGCACCTACATGTTTTGCTTGCCTGAAATGGGGATTCTGAAGGCAGCAAACATTGATACTCTAAAAGATTGCACTAAAATACAATTTTCCTCTTCATTGAATTCAGCTTCATCTAACATTCTCACTACTAACTGACTACTCAAATAGGTAAAGAGTTATTATTTTAATGGATTGGGATATTTAGTTCTAATTTTACATCGGGCTAGTGCAGCTTTTGAAGTGATCCCATCATGACTGTTCATTGTAGTGTTCCATATGCTGTGGTACATGTACTGTTACTGGTATATGAACCACTTCTAAATGTTAGGCATGCATGAGGCAAAGCAGAGGCGGCAGCAGCAGAAGCAGCAGTTCCTCACCACTTGTCTTTAGACACTCGCCAAGGAAACACAACCAGTGTGAACCAGCATAAAGCCTACAGGGCTATTGGGGCTTCCATCTGATGTTGTGGGACAGAGCTGAGGAAAGACGAGGTGAAAATACAGGAATGATAAACTGGAACATGCCTTGGGTGAGAGAGGGGGTGAGCATCCCGGTTTGGTGCAATGGGATGTGTGTGATAGGAAGCTGAGAAAGGCAGGAGTTAGGGACAGAGGGTAAGATGCTGTTTCGATGGAGTGAGAGTGTGTGGTAACGAGTGGGAAGCTGAGTGTCGTACGGATGAGCCCTGCTCTGTGGCAGCAGCATGTGTGACAAGAAGGTGAGGTCAAGGCCATGGTTTGGAGAAACGGTTCCTGTGCAGGAAGCAGGGATTGCTATGGCCAGTCATGTATGGCACCATCTGCCTCTGCCCCCCCGCCAGTGCTGGCAGTTGAGCACAGGTCTGTGAACAGCAGGTCTGCTGCAGAGCTTTTCTCCTTATGTAACTCCCAGACCTTCCTCGATGCCATGCTGGTTTTCTGGGGGGTAATCTTTAAGAGTCCTGCTTGCTTTTTACGCTCCATTGTTTTTTCTACAATCTTTTTCTGCAGGTTTAAAATGCGTTCATCTTTCATAGGCCTGTCACCAGACTGGGACTTTCTTTTCTTTTCTTCTTGCCTGCAAAATCAAAAAGAAGCAATGAGAAGGTAAAACAATATCAACCCACAGAATAAATCCACCTGAGCATATATTATCTTGATAATAATGAATTTTCTCTTGCTTCTGGGAACCAGCTAGACTCAGAACAGGTTTAAATCATATCGCTCGATAAATGTGTTATTCACAACTTGCTTCTTGTTATTTACAGAACAGCATTACTAAAAAACATAGAATAATTTCTTCCCACAGGATGCCATGATGACAATATCTGAAGTAATTCAGGCCTGACATGACATTCTTTAGAAAAACCATGTGCAAAACCTGGGATAATACTGCAGCTTTTTGCTTGTGAGAACTATGGAGTTTTCCTTATGTGATCATTAGTATGCATCTCGATTGCTGTATTCCTTGGGAAATGAAAGATATTCTTTTCTGTGTAATCTCAATGCCCAGATTCAGAATCTATGGGATGGTGATGTATTAATCAAGGTTAGTGGGTCTAGGTGAGCATAAACTGATAGCACCATGTGCAGCATAAAAGGTATGAGAGAGAGGTTATCGGATAGTCTTCCTTTTTTTTTCCTTCTACTGTAGCTACTTTTCTGTCCTCTGGAGTTTACATTTTTTATCTGGTTTTGCTTACTTTCACCCAACTGGCACAATTTACTCACAACTTCTTCATGTAGGTTACACCACCTTGCATAGTGATTCACTTAACATCCAACTTGCTCTTTTATTCAACATTGCCCTTGAGTTTGGTTCAGTATGATCAAGCTGTAGTATTAATATTAGGTCATGAGCAGCTGTGATTCTCTGGCCAAATTCAGAGCTAAAGTAAATGTCAGATCTACGAAAGAATATACATAATTATATAATATATAACCAGGTTAGATCCGATGCCTTCTCTCAGCTGGCAAGGATAGTTTTGTAGAAGGTCCTTTTATATTGCAGTAGTACAACATCACAATTGCTTTTATTGGAAACCAGATTAAGACTCCAAATGACCAGGAGCAGAGTGCACTGGGGCATTTTTCAGCCGATCCTGGAACTGTTATTCTGTCAGTGGCAGGACCAATTTCACAGACAGGTTGCCCCTTGGAAATGTTTTACAACAGAACTCTTCCCTTATCTCTTTGGTCTTACACCACAGTGTTTTCAGTGGAAGGCACACTCTTTTCAAGGAGCTGGAGGAAGGGGAAGAAGGAAGAACTTCCTTCTGATGTCAAAATCACCAATTTGCCTTAAAAAGTGTCTGTATCGAGATTCCAGGGATCCAAACGCTTCTTTCATCTTGGAAGAGATGGCTTCTGTCTGCCTTGTTAGCTTCATCTTTGCTGATAGAAAACTCCCCGTAATAGCAGGTATTCTTCAGAGCAGCCATTCTGGACTACAGTTCCCAAAATCCTCAGGAACTGGGTGAAAGGGAGATTTGGCCTGTGTTACGTTCTGAAATGTGACTGTGAACTCTAAATAAGGGGCACAGTTTAGCTTGGCTTCTCATTTCCAGTTGCTTTTCTGAGACACTTCCTGAATGTCTCTGCTGTGTGTGTCATGGTTAGGATAACACTTCCTTATCCTCTTTAATATTGTGACGCTCTGCTACGCTGAGATTAATTTTTAACACTATTCTGTAAATCTAAAAATTACGTACTATCATTTACTCTAATTGAGAACATGGGTTACATCTATTTGCATTGTAACAAGGCATTGCATTCCAAGGGATGTAGGAGAATATAACAATAAGGTTTTATGTAAACACTTGATGATTAAATATTGTCAGTGGGAATAAGCAACAAAACCTTTCATTACATGCAAATCCAGATTCTTGTAAATAGAATTACAGGAAATACAGCAAGAGGTTTAACATCATGAAGCAGCAGCAGCTGCTTCTGAATTAACATTGTAAATAGTTGCTTATCCTCACGCTAATATTCAGTCCTCTTCTACATGAAGTCATGTGCCAGTCATCTACACTATTCCAAAAAGCTGCCGATCCCAGAGATTTTCAGATGCTACCATAACATGAAATGAGGTTCATTCTTCTCATAACATGTTATGCTATCATAACAGAAACTGAAAGAGGGGAAGGAATGAAAAAAATAAATTTTAAAATTCTGTTTTTCTGTGATGGTCAGTTGAGAACTTTCAGGACTCAAGACAGAAAGAGCTGATACGATCTCTGTCACCCCATGTCACATATTTCCTAAGGAAGTAAGGTAACAGCCAGTCAGAATGGAGTAGTACATAGTTAGAAAAATCCTCTCCAGATTCAATAGAAAATTACGTGATAATTTATGAAAAAAATATGCAGAAACCTTTTTAATTTTACTTCTAAGTTTATTTACTAGCTACTGGTATTGAATGAGCACCTTGAATGAAAACCAATCTTTAAGAATCATACTCGTTCCTGAAATGTAATGTCAAATCTTTGGTCAAAAAGAGAATTTGTTAATTTTCTTTTCTTTTGGTCTCAGGCAAGAGTCTTCCATCCCTTTGTGAGTCTGCCATAATTTAAAATATATTTCCCTACCAAAGACTTTGAAAACATTTGTAGTATTTTTGAAGTCTGTATGTATTTGAAATGGTTTAACAAACTCTAGTTTTTGCTTAGTAACCTTGTCAGAAAGTACCTTTTAGTGTTAAGGAATGAGATGAGATTCTTGAATGTGCTTATGGAAGTTTGTGGTGGTGTGGGGTGCACGTATAAACTACTCAAAGAAGGAACAGTGAGGGATTAATGAAAGATTCAACAGAATATGGATATAAAAGGAAACAGTGAAAATTTCTTTATCTACCGCTGATTTTGTTCTCTATTCACTTTCTGTGTGAGCTATGTGTACAGTCAACAGCAGAAAGATTGTGGCTCACTATGATGAAGTACAGAACAATTTCATCAGTGATGGGTAAAATGTGTTTTTCTACTTAAAATATTCCAGGCATTGTAAACCGCAGTCAACATCCCATATTTGTTGTCTCAATGATTTCCTTAGTGAATATAATGAATTTTAAAAATATGTAAGTATTTTTTTACTTCGCATTTTACAAACTCGTCATGGAGTTTGGCAGTCCAGTGTCTTATCATTTACATATCCCTTGTAATTATTTAACTATCATCTGCCCTGCAGTTGTAGCATCTGGCCAAATGGACTCTAGGTCCAGTAGGTCATCTGGCCTATAACTGGAGAAGCAACAATTCAGCATTAAAGGTTTTCTGGTAGGAAGTGAAAACACTTGGAACAGTTGGATTAGGTCTTCTCAGCTGGGTTTAAAAAATGGGGAATCTGAAGATTTGCACAGAGGATCCCTCCTGAAAACCACGTTTTGCTCTTCATTTACATTTTCAAACTCCACCTGTGCATCAAAAATATAAGGAGATAGATGTATGACAGCTCTCAACTGACTCAATACTTGTAAGAGATGGAGTAAAAATGGCTACTTGACCATTGCAGGCACCAAAATATCAACTTAAGCAGCTAGGACTGTATTTATAAGCTTACCATACAAAATGGAGTCTTGCACAATAAACACAAAAATATTTTTAAAAGCAGAAGCACGATTGCCTTATAGTGAAATAAACATTTTTTTTTTAAATTTCCTCATACTCTCAGTCTCAGTCACTAGGGCTGTCTGTCCTTCACAGTACCTTGCCTTTTTTCTGTCCTGCACTATGTAATTCTTAGTTATTGCAGTGAGGAAAATGAATGTATCTAACTGTTAAGGGAGTAATTATTTTGACATTTAAGAACACTATACTACTAGATTGATTATTATTTTGTACTAACGTGAGGGATTTAAGCCCTCAAAATCTGACTCCATTCCAAAACAATTTACTTACTAAGCATCTAATTTTAGGTGTGGAAGTGATTGTTATTCATAACGGGGTTTTCCTCATTTGAAATAAAGCTTATGCAGTTGTATAATCAAAGTTCATTCACAGAATGGTTGATGTTGGAAGGGACCTCTGGAGGTCATCTTGTCCACCCCCACCTGCTCAGGCAGAGTCACCTAGGGCCAGTTGCCCACGACTGTGTCCAGATGGCTTTCGAACATTTCCAAGGATGGAGACTCCACAGCCTCTCTGGGCAACCTGTGCCAGTGCTTGGTCACACTCACAGTAAAAAAGTGTTTCCTGATGTTCAGAGGGAACCTCCTGTGTTTCCTGTTGTACCTCTTGTCCCCTCATTGGTCACCACTGAGAAGAGCCTGGCTCTGTCTTCTTTACAGCCTCTCTTCACATATTTAAATTTCTGATCCAACATTGCTGGTAAATTTCCTCCTTCTGTTTCAATGCTAGTGAAGAACTCATTACCAGCCGCAGGGACTGAGAAACTAATTCTTACTTCCTTATTGCAAACACATACAGAACTCTAAGTATTTATGAAATTTGTGAAATTAATGAAATCACAAATGTTATGAAGTACCAAAGTCCCTTATATTGCTAATTACTCATTTTTTTCATTATTCTAGGCTATGTTTTTGAAGATCTGAAGCAACAGCCACACATAGGGATAGCGTGGCACATGTTCCCCCACTACATCTTTCCACCTCCATGTGCTGTCTGCCCCTTCCCTCAGTTGTGTGCTGCGTCACAGGGTTGTGTTGCCAGGGTGTCTGTCTCACAGGTTTTTGAGGATGGGGCTCCTCACCCAGAAGGCCTTTGACTCCCTAAGTCAGACCTGGACACTCCAGGGAACGCTTGCTTTAGGGAGCTTGTTCTGCTTGGAAAGGACCATCACAGTCATCCATCCATAACCCTCCCTTCTGCTTGTTCTCCTCTCCTTCCTCATAACCAGCCATCCCCCTTGTACTCCTGCCATGGCTGCCCTCACACTATTCCCACCCCTCCCCAGTTCAGGCCAAGAGAGAGGTGTTACCCTGGTGTGCGGTCAGTGCCCCTTGTCAAGGAGGGGTTTGAGCACTGGCAGTGGCAGGAAGAGAAAGGAGTGCTTTGCCACCCTGGCAAACACACCATCGTTCGTAATCCAGCACCGAGACCCCAGCGTGCTACACCATTACCACAGCGCGAGGTGGGGATGTGGTAAACTTTTGTGTTGGGGGCAGTCTGTGCATCTTGTTCCTCCTAACAATCTTCTGATTCGCCTTCCTCATATACAAGGAAGTCAAGGAGGATTAGTGTCAGTTCAGAGCGTCGCCCTGGAAGAGCAGCTGCTTCCTTCATCTGGATGTTGCCCTGACTGGGAGAGGGGAGGGGGCTCGGGCAGCAGGCACCGTCCTGTCACTTGAAAATGAGCAGGAAAACAAGGCAGGAACATGAGCAAAACCAGAAATAAGGCTGGCTTCTCTGTACCTTACATATGTGGCAGTGGCTGGTGGGGACATGGATGTGCTACTGCCATCTATGTGAGACAAGTAAAAGCATAGTGTGGTGTTCACTGGACGGGCTTGCAGAGGAGCAAGGAATTGAGCATGTGAACTTTTGTGAGATAACTTTCCTCTGGACAGCTTTACACCGCATGAATGGTGACAACATGCAGTCCCAAGACCAGACTAAATCCAACCCGAAGTACCCCCCCCTAAACCACAGATAATGTGGATGGAGGGAGCCTCAGCACCAAATGGTTTGATCTGTTGCTTGATTCTTAGTGCATTAAATTACTTGGAGCGATAGATGTAGCCTCACTGGAATGAAAGGGAATTGTACCTGAAGTATACAGGCACGTAACTTTAGTACATTAGCATGTGTTCAAACACTCATAAATCTTTTGGTGCTCATGTTCGAAAGCCGAGAACTCCAATGTTTGCCGTCTTCATATGCCACTGCTGATTTTCAAACAGTGTGAAGTTCTAGCAATTAAAGGGACGTCCTGTGTATATACTGAATTGATTCTTAAGTGTTCTGCAAGCACTCACAAAGCCACTGCTGTGATGGATGTCACGGCTTGCAGTCTATTAAAGGCTGATGTTTCTGTAATTTTTCATGTTCCATTTCCTATTTTGTTTAATATAGCTCATTATACGCTTGCTCAATGTGCTGCTTTTGTGTTGATGTATGTCTGTTTGTAAATGATATTGAAAGGAACCTGCTTGGTAGGGACCCAATTAAACTCCAGCTGACAATAACTAAAGCACATTTGTTTAGCAAAGCTTGGCCGCCATACGTCAGCTGATTAGCAGTAGTAGCCTTCAACATAATAAAATTTAAGATACAACATGTAATTTTATATTGATGCAAAAGGCTATTTTATGAAGACTATTGGTAAGACTTGCTATTCTATCCCTATAATTATGAATTAATTCTGTAAACATAAAGATTTGCTTTTTATATCTCCTGTGCAGCATATCAGTAATACAACCCAAGCAATTAATCACTCACATTGACTTGACAGATATTTCAGGATTCAAGATCTGTAAATCAGGTTTAACACACAAAGCCTGTAGTTTGTTTAGAGAGAAATAAAAGCTGCAGCAAAGTGTCTAGCATTTGTAATCAGGCCAGCATGCCATACTTCTATATTAATGGAAATAACACCATAGATTTGCATTCTAGATGAAAATGCATAAAATACCCTCCCAAAGAACAACATTTCTGGTATACTTTGATGATGCCTCTTTATAATAGATGCTCCTAAGTTACATGCATAGATTGCCTGGGAGTCATGAAAGGAAATGTCTTGTAACATCTATAATGAAACTTTATATTTTCTTTATTTGGAGAGCAAACAGGGCTCCATTAAAATTACTGTATTACTTATCATAAGTCTGACTAGAAGCTTGCAAATTAAGTGTTTAATTTCATTTGGATGCTACCATCTTTGGCATGCTGGTCTGTTCTAACAACATTTCAAATGTCAGGACAAAAAGTGAATCAAAGTTAGCTTCTCATTCAAGCATAGCTTATTTCAGGATCAGAACAGTTTTAGGTCTGAATGAAGCCAAACAGTCTATTTTAAAGAAACCCAGCACCGTATAAAATTCGCAGACTGCACATCTAGCATAACAAATGATTCTTTAAGTAGTTACTAGTGAAACAGGTTTTATGTAGTATACAAGTTCTTAATGCCTTGTTTGCATCTCTAGTGGAAAGCAGTGGCTTGAGTTGCTCCCACGGGCTTTCACAACAGTGGATGTTTAGAGATGAGAGTCTATTTCCAGCTCCACCTCCATTTCAGGTTCTTTAGTCTTAAAATCTTTTCTCGATATATGCCATAGAAGAGAGGGTCAGTGATCTATGCAGTCAATCCACTGCAGCTGCAGTTATTGATTCATTAAATTCATTAAACTATCTTCTTAAGTACTAACGTAGTGAAACCCCAGTCTTTGGAGATTAACTATCATCAACAAACCAAATTAGAGCTGGGACTAGTAAAAACTAGTTAAATGAATACATCGATACTGCCTTCTGTAATTGAGATTTAGAACTGGATAATAAATTAATAACATGAATTTAACTCTAAGAAGCCACCTTTGGTATGTCAGCAACAAACACAAATCTAACATATATCTAAAGATGTGTTTTTAGACTGATAGAATATGTCTTCAGAATGTCAGCCTGTTTGCGAAATAAGTATGGCAAGACAAGGACTAACCTCTCAAACTCACAAAAGGGAGAAGGTGAAAGACAACTTGCAGGAAAACAATGGAAAATAGTCAAGATGCAGTAAAAATGGCATAAGATCAAGAGGTGTGCCATATTTTACACTTTTATACAGGCTTGCTGCCTGCTCAGCTTTATTTGTAAACAGCTTTAACTTAGATTTTAAAGTCTTTGTGGAAGGGACCTGCCTTCTGCATATGTGAAGCATCTATGATGGTTATGGATCCTTTATGACAATGAATAATAAATATGATAATGAATAATAAATATGAATAATGAATACAAAATTTGATCAGAGAGCCTGTAAGCAAAGATGTTTCTCTTTGATCTACTGCTCTAAGATATTTAATTTATAACTTATTATTGTTATCAGAAAATCTCCTTCCTAAAATATTTTTAACTTCTGAAATAAGGCCTGCCTTTTCACATAACAAATGAAGTTCAAGGAAGCAAACTAGAGCCCTAATGGATTGGTGTAGATGAAAATGAGAAACTGCTTTGAGTAGCAAGCTAGAATGATTCTAATAAAATCAAGTTAGTTCTGATTAGCTGAAAAGGAACAGAAGAAAGGCAGAACTTCTTTCTCAATATATAATATTGGCTCTGAATCCTGGGGCAATCCCGTCAACACGAGCCTGCAGAGTGTCTTCAACCATAAATTCAAAATGATGAAAAAGATTTGTTAAATCTCATGCAAATTATTTTCAATAAAAAGGAAATTCTAGCCCCAGTGTAATCCTTGACAAAAGTCATACTGATATATAAAAGGGCAGTATTTTGCTCTCTACTTGTTTTTCTCCTCAAGGGGCTAGCAAAATATTAACAAAGTTGCAATGTCTTAAATGTCACATGCTGTTTTATACTGACTTTAAAGCAGCTGCTCGTCCAAGTTCTGCTCTGAACAGGGAAATCTGGTCCAGTTTGTCTAGAAGAAGTTGTTCCTTAGCTTGTTTTTCATGAATTATCTGGTCTCTCTTCTCTTCCTCTGCTGCCTTCTGTGCTTCTCTGAGTAGAGCGAGGCGTTCACGTAGTTCCACTATTGACATTTCACAAATTAAACCATGGCCACCAGTCTAGAGAACATGAAATATAGGTTTAAATAACACTGTAAATACCAAGGGGAGAGTAAATGAGTAAAACCAGAATATTTTGATTGTGTTCCAAATCATGCTGAATATATTTTGACTTCAAGAAAGATAGGGTTGGCCCTAACCTAACTGTTATTTACAAGCTCTTTTTAAGGTGTAGAGCTTACCTTTTGTATGTGTGAAAACACAAGGCTCATAAAACATTTCATGAAAAAGCACTGAAAGATGCAGTAGATTAGTCATAAATACAATGTATTTACTGTCCAAAAAAATTTTAGTTGTCTTTTAGTTTTAGTAAGACTTATGCAGTTTTTAAATGTGTAAACTGGCATATTTTTTAGTTTGTAAAACCAGAACAGACTTTACACTAAAAAATATGCATTTTTTGGTATTTATCTATTTCCAAATTATGGATTTGATCTATGATGGCATCTACTATTTTTATCTGAAAAGACTAGGACTAAACAATGCTTTGTACCCAGGAAATTCAGATCTTAATAGCCAAAGTTAAAATATTGAAACCTGAATGTTTAATGAAGGCTTTTTAAAATCCACTTTGCAATGAGAGTGATAATGAGCCTGATTCGGAGATGTAATGAGCAACTTCTGCACCTTAGTTTGCATACAAAGATCATTTCTAAACAGATTTGTGAACACTCAAAGTTTTCAGCCCTTGCTCTTACATATACTCTTCCCTATGTCTACACATATATACATCTGCATATATGGCAAACTTGCATAAACCCACACAAATACTGAGCTTCTGTGTAGCTTTCTTTGCAAACTGTAATCCATTTCACACCAGCTAATATTCATCTGTGTATCTTAACACAGTTTTGGTACATGTCTTTGGTGTGTATCTTGTATCATGGCATGTTATCATAGAATATATGGGTGCAGGAAGTCAAGGTGCTAACCTGACTCTTGCTAAACAGTTGTATAACACAAAGAGCGAAACACTGGTTAGGATTTTAATTGCAAAGACCTTGCTCTACTTAGTTCCATAGAACTAGTGACAGTGGGGGTGTGGAATGCAAAAGAACAACCACTCTTCCAAATTGTATTTCTTGGACTGAAATTAAGTGGTAACAATAAACATATGTAAGTAAAACTCATTAAAATCCTTTTAATGGAGATAAATTATTCAGTTAAAGAGCCTTCATTTTTTTCAAGCAGTCCTTTTTAGCAGAAAAAAAAAGCCCTTGTATTGAATACTGAGCAAATTGTTCACAGAATAGTAGTTGCCGTTCTGCTTTTGAGCTTTTCACAAAACAGAACATGAAGGGGAAGGAAAAAAAACCAAACAGGAAAAGAGAAGGATGCTCTCTCATAGATAGATGCTCAGATTGTCAGCTGGGCTGCAAGAATTGACCTGGGTCCAGTCACTCTTCTCTGGTCTGGGAGGCCATCTAAGCAGTCTAGTCAGGTACTCGTCCTCCAGTGACCATTCTCTGGCTGTTCAGAGCAGTGGGTCCATGAAATAGGGGGAAAGCCAAGAGAGATGAAGAAAACAGTAAGGTGGGCAGGGGCGGGTGGACAGGGGCAACAAAACCACAAAACAGAGTACAACAAATAACCAGGCTTGGCTCTCTGCTGCTACAACATTGGTGCTCAAGAGGTATTATTACTGAGTTAGTCTGGAGAATACAATGATACAAGCTTGTTAGTGAAGGAGAACGTGTCTTGGGTGGCCATCCCTGGGGACTCCTCCAAGATTTCCAAGAGTCTCTCCTGCAGTTTTGGTCCCCATAGCTTCTCTTTGTAAAGCTTCAAAAGTTGAGTCAGTAAGAAAAGATCATCACTGTTTTCTCACCTAAAGTCTGAGTCTTCAATTTTGGCTCAGTGGTTTCTGCTTCCATGCTCTTCATGTGTACCAAACCTGACCTAAACAATGGTCACCAGAAGCATCAGTAGAAGACTGATAAAAGAGTCCAATATTAAGCAGTCTTTGTTTTTGCATCTCTCTGAAAAATATGTACTACCATAGGTTACTGAAACAGTAAATGATAATTTATCTACTTCTCAGATTTCAATTTAGAGTGAATTTGCAAATAGCAAGTGCTATAATACCTTGCTTCTAATTTAAACTAGTCAATGACCATCAAGTTGTATTCACAGGAAGTGAAAGGAAAATGTTTTGCAACAGGGCATATATACCAGTGGTAGTGTTTGAGCATGGCAAGCAGACACTGAAAAGGTCTAGGAAAGAAAATTACATACAAACACAGAATGGTAGGGGCTGAATATTTTGAGTGCCTGCATTTCAAAAATATTCAGTGAAGACAGTGAAGTGGTTTCTAAAATATGAAAAGTCCTATACTTGTACAGTAGATAATGCTGGTGTTCAAGCAACTTAAGTGCCATCAAGGGAAGAACTGGGTACTTTAAAAATTATGAGAATGAATGAGAATTCTATGGACACATACTTAATTTCACTAAGTCTGAAAAAGCCTTTTGTAGAAAGAAAAAAGCACGCAAGCTATCACCAAAAGTGTGCTAATTCACTCAGGGTGCTATTGTAATAGTGAGTATAAGGGAACTGTGAAGTTGAGATATAGAATCATAGAATGGTTTGGGTTGGAAGGGACTTTAAAGATCATCTAGTCCAACCCCCCCGTGCCATGGGCAGGGACACCTTCCACTAGACCAGGTTGCTCAAAGCCCCATCCAGCCTGGCCTTGAACACTGCCAGGGATGGGGCATCTACAGCTTCTCTGGGCAACCTGTTCCAGTGCCTCACCACCCTCATTGTAAAAAATTTCTTCCTTATGTCCAACTTTAATCTACCCTTTTTCAGTTTCAAACCATTGCTCCTTGTCCTATCACTACAGGCCTTGGTAATACATCTTTCTCTGTCTTTCTTATACGTCCCTTTATATACAGAAAAGCTGCAATAAGGTCTCCATGGAGCCTGCTCTTCTCCAGGCTGAACAACCTGAACTCTCTCAGTCTTTCTTCATAGGAGAGGCGTTCCTCCCTCTGATCATTTTTGTGGCCTCCTCTGGACTTGTTCCAACAGGTCCATGTCTGCCTTGTGCTGGGGACCCCAGAGCTGGATGCAGTACTCCAGGTGAGGTCTCACCAGAGCAGAGTAGAGGGGGAATATCACCTCCCTTGACCTCCTGGTCACGCTTAAAAAGAAGTGTGCAGCCCAGGATATGATGAGCTTTCAGGGCTGCAAGCGTGCATTGCCAGCTCATATCAAATTTTTCATCTACCGATATCCCCAAGTCCTTCTCTGCAGGGCTATTCTCAATCAATTCATCCCCAGTCTGTATTGATATTGGGGATTGCCCTGGCCCAGGTGCAGGACCTTGCACTTGGCCTTGCTGAACTTCATGTGGTTCACATGGGCATGCTTCTCAAACCCGTCAAGGTCCTTTTCCTCAAGTGTATCACCTGCACCACCCAGCTTGGTGTCATCCACAAACTTGCTGAGGGTGCACTTAATCCCACTATCTATGTCATTAGGGAAGATATTAAATAGTATCGGTCCCAGTACAGACCCTTGAGGGATACCACTCATTACTGGTTTCCACTTGGACATTGAGCCATTGACTGTAACTCTTTGGATGCGGCCATCCAGCTAATTCCTTATCCATCTAACAGTCCGTCCGTATCATTCAGGTCCATTCTCTTGTACTTGCAATATGACCTGTATGGCCACTCCATTTTCAGCAACATTACACTTTTAGTAACCTTACACAATAGGATAAGCTTGAATTTTGAATGAATTTTTCATATATGACTTGAAACCTGCTGTATTTTTCTGCTTTGTCTTTTGAGATGAGCTAGATGGGAAAATGTATTTAAAGCCATATTCTGTACTTAGAAACAAACAGTATTTCAGTGGAAGCACTACGTGAGGGGTCAACAGCCGCTGTAAGGGGCAATGAAATGAACTAGGTTCAAAAATAAGAAAGTACTGACTTCCAGTCACCTTCATTTTCCTGAATGAGAGCCTGCACCATTTTACAGAAGTTGTTGTGATTGAAGAAGTAATGACATTTCCACATCCGACTACATCATACCGTTGTGTCTTTGCAGCCTACATCTTGTGACTGAATCATATGGGTAACAAATGTGCAGTGAGACCAGCTAAGGGCTTCATTTAGGGTTGACACCATGTGCAACTCTATCTGAAGCAGTAAAAGACCTATACATTGGAGTACCTCTTGGCATTTCCATGCAGACAGTTTACAGTATCTGTGGTGTACAATAATTCTTTGTACTCTTCACTTTTTTCCCTGCTTTTTCATTTGTGGTTCAGTATTTCTCCACAAATGGGTGGAGTAAGTCTAGGTTTGAAAAGGAGAATTGCCTTCTTTGGCTGGAAAAGAAGTGGAGAAGTGATGGCAACAGCCATAAAGGCAACCAAAGAGAGTAAAGGAGGATGGGACATCTGGGGAGCTGAATTTATTCTTGTTCACTTATTTCACACTTTAAGATTAAATGTGTTCTAAAATCTGATAAATGAAATGGAGGATTTATCTGGTGGTTGCAAAGACAGTAGGTAGGTTTGGAAGCAATGAATGGCTCAGTTCTATTCAGAGGAGCAGGAGATAAAACCAAGGCATCATATTGACTGTTCCAACAGCCCCATGGAAGGGAGACCGGTCCTTCTGTATGGTTTCTGCACAATAGCCATGGATGTTTTTTAATTTGTGATCTTCATCTGAATACTCATGAAAGGAAAGAAAAAACCCAAAAGGATTATATTTAAAATTGATAGTGCAATTTTACATTATGCTATGTTATTCTTGTTTCAGTGTGGATAAGACAAATGGAGGAGTATTTTCAGCTACTCTGCTTCTGATTTAGTGGTAAGATAACAGATTTCCGGATGCTGCCTAAGCCTGGAAATTCTGCAAAAGTGGACAATGCAAAGCCCAATCTCAGGCAATCTCAGTTGTTGTGTGTCAACAGTAAGTTCAAGAAGTTTGGGATGCATTTACTGTAGACTTAACCACACACACACAAGTTATTTGCACAGTACATGCATAGCAGCTCAGCAAGTTTTGGATTCTCTGGACAGTCTCTTTCATGTACCTGAATGTTGACAGATTTGAAAGCAAAGGAAATTAATTTTGCTAATCACCATGGCAATCACCACTGCAATATGAACAATTGTACATCAGTCCAAACTTTGTGTTCATTCAGTCCTTACCCAGGACTGACAAATCTGTGAATTTGTGAAGATGGAGAGAACATGTTGTAATCACTTGCCAGTCTCTTTTTGAAAGATAACAGGAAACCCAGATCCTATTGCCAAAATTCAAAGAAAGTTCAAGGGGGCTAAGATTTCACTTACCATCAGAATATTCTTTCTGGTAAAATTTTCATTTTATAAACTTTGTGAAAGTTCCAGTTCAGATCTAACCTTTGTGTCATGGGGTCACTGTACTTAATGCTATGCATCCAGACTGCAATATATCTGCATACAGTACACAATTCCTTTGAATGTGTGAAATATATACAATATACATTTACGTAAAACCAGTAGTTTTTCCTTTTGAGCTTACCTCAGTTAAATCAACGAACTTGTGTCTGAGGCTTGGTAAACACTCAATAGCTCGTATTTGTTGAATTAGTTCATATCTTTTCCTTAGCTTTTCCTCCTCTTCTTCTAAAGCTTGCCGAAGAAGTTCTCGATTTTCTTCACAAACTTCCTGAACTGAAAGAAAAGAACTCATCTCTGTTAGCTGGCTGCATATTTTAACAAGTAGTCCATCTGGAGGAAAATTCATATGCATTTGTGAATAACGTTAATAATACTGATCTAAAGGTACTTGAGGGAACAGTCTGGCATTGGTGGGAGGAATGATTAGAAAAACAAATGAGTACTTCCCACCTCCACTATCTATCATTCTATTCAACACATAAACATACTGTATATATACATAAAGTAGACACTTTGAATTACTGCTTTGTAATTTCTGGTCTAATTAGTGCATACTGTTTCGTTATTTAATAAAATGATATCATACAATAGCAAATATTCATAGTTTTTCAAGCTATATAGATGGTAAAAATCATTGAATTGCAAAGGCTGGCAGGCTTTGCTAGGCCATTTCAGAGGGCATAACACCCTCTGCCCCCCTCAACCCTTATTGATACAAGTATGGAGATACACAAGCAGAGAAGTCTGCTCACCAAAATATGCACAACTAGAGGTAGCCTGTTCTACAGTAGATGTTAACACGGCGTTGCATTGGAATATGTACAGCCATGCCAGTCAGAACAGCCTTCTCCCTGGACTTCATTAGCTAATGCATTAACTGAAGAATTTTCTTCAATAATAATGGAGGATGAGTAACATTATTTCCCTTCATCCTAACAACTGGTCTGTCTTCGAGGGGGTACATCTTTCTCCCTTGTCATACTGTCCTTCTAGGAGATAGCTTTTCTTTCCTTAGCTACAGTCTTCTTCTCTGGACTGTCTTCTCTGGAGAAGACAATAATCTTGAGCCATGATTCTTTCACAGTGGTTGCTAGGCAAATCCTCTATTAATGATATGAATCACAAGAATCTGAGCTTCATAACTTGACTTGACAAAAAGTACAGTAATTCACATATGCTGCTTTCAGATGGAAGGGAAACTAGTTGCAGAACATTAGTGCTGTATTTCTCCCTTTTAAACAAAAGAGTAATTCCCATGACCAGTAGCTTAGAATTTCTGATCTACCCATGACCAACTTATTCCTGGAATTCATATTCATGCATTCATGGAAATGTATAGCCCAGATCTTTCCCTCAACTTCCCTTTCCTTTATGTAAAAATTGTAATTGGCCCACTAAAATAAAGTAATTTGGGGACATTTGGCACCATCCCTCATTTTTCTGGCAACATGTAAATACCTATCTGCTGTTTGTATTTCTGGAGCTTTACTTTTGCTTGCTTTGCATTCTTGTGTCCTTCCACGACCTGCTCCACCAGCTCTCTCATTTCTTTCTGTTCCTGTAGACGTTTCTCTGCATACTGGTGCATCAGCTCTGCTTTCTAAATCCCAAACAAACAGGCGAATAAAATTCCTGATAACTGGTGATCTGAGTGTCTCAAATCATTGAAGTAGTACAAGGACAAATGGATTCAAAAAGTATTACATCATCTGCAAAAGTAGCAAAGGACATGGGCTGGGGACAACATAGAGACCCAGATTTATGCTCCCCTCTCTATGTTTTATTTACCCACAACAGCCCTCCATAACATTTGCACTGCTATTTTCCAGGATTCCCTCCCACATGTTTCTAAAAGCAGACAGAAAAAGCCATCTCTGGATCTGGTTGTGAGATACCAAGAAGAGTTCCAATCTAATACACAGCTGGTTATGTGCCTGCAGGATCTTCTTGGGCCTAAGTCATATCTCTGTAACATACAGAAAGGCTACTTTTGGCTATTGTGTTCCTTTCTTTGTCAGCGGAAATCAACAGGAAGCAGGAAACTGGATTTTCCCAGACCACATTCCTTACTGTACTTTCTGGTTTAGATAGAAGACTAGAGTTTTAAAAGAAGGAGGAGGGTCGACATGACAGCTGAGCTGTTGGTGAATGGGGAACCGGTGCTCAGTACTTCTGGAGATCTTCATATGGATGAAGTGCCCTGCTGGCATCTGTTGGCAAGTGAAGGGAGCTGCCTGGAACTGGTCAGGTTAGAGCAAGTCTGATTTGCACATCCCCAAATCTATACATATTGGGGCATTTCTGTTAACAAATAAAACGCTTATGCTCTGAAAGTGAGGTGACTAATTAGAATAATTTTGGAATGAGTGTGAGCGATCATGCTATGCTCAGTTATACATAGTAAGGTTTGCTTTAAGTTCTTGCTACGGCCTGTCTAAACAGACATGAAGACTCAATGCCAAAAAAGGTTGAAAGATTTTTTTTAAAGGACAGAGAAGGAACTCATTAAGCAAGTTTCCCTTTTGCAGCGTGGCCTTTATGAAAATCTTGTACATTTGTGGTTGCATCTTAAGTTGCTGAGATGCTGCAGAGACATCTGTGAGAGTTGGCCAAGAGAAAAGTACTGGCTGGCCTACAGGGCGTAGCAGCAAACTGGGTTAACAGCAAAGAAAAGCCTGTGATAGTGACTATGAAATATTTAAAATCTATAGTATTAGTTATTTCTTGATCACTTGTTTAGTTTATAGGAAAAGCACTGGAAAAATGTAATGTGAGTTTGGGAAAAAAATGAAAAGATCTAGCAATGTTTTTGGGAAACTGTAATTTGCCAGATTGGAAACTGTGTGAAAATACTTCTTAGCATAAATATTCAGTTTTCCATATGTATAGATCCAAAGAAGGTTCTCTGCCTGAATTTTCCCCTAAGAGAGATCTAGGCATGTCAGATAATATGAAGTAAATTGAATTGTATCAGTTTAAGAAAACAAATTCTTTAATATTTGTGGCTCTCATTTTAACAAGATAATGAAATTAGTCATATATTGGTGATTTCATTGCAAATGGTGCTTAGTATCTCAGTATCTGTTCAAAAAGGATATGCATAATGACATGAATGTAGGGGAGAATGCTTTAAGCTTCTGTTTTATTCAATTTACTTCGTAAGTGTTATCAGTCAAATCAAACACTTGTAAAAAGTACTTTAATGTATAAGCATTGCTGTGTCTTCAAGTTATAACACTGTTTTTCCATTGTTTGCAGACTCCAGTGAGTAAAGACACTGTATAGAACTTTTACACCTTCTTATAGTCGGTATCATCTGTGGTAAGTTTTGCACTGATTGAATGTAAGCAGAATTTGAGCAACGCTGTATGTATTACCTCTTCTCTCATTAGATCAGCTTTCTTTTTATTTTCTTGAGTTACATTCTGATGGGCTAGAACTGCCTCTTCATGACTCAGTTTCCCTTGAAGCCTCCTACACTCTATTTCAGTCAGCTGCTCTTCCAAATCTTTTCCACGCATCTGTTTTTGCCATTCCAAGAATTCAGATGGGTCTCCAGCCCCTCGTAGCAAATTTTCAATTCTGCAAGAGAGAAGAAAGAGTATACTATTGTAGGGATCTGGCTCTGCAGCCTTGCCTTGGTTCGTAAAACATTTCTAGTAGTTTGTTGTGATATAAAGTGTTTGATCTCTGCAGAGAAGAAAGGCAGTCATCGCAAAGTCATTTGACAGATATATTTTAACTCCAGTCTAAGAGGTGTTCCTAGTATGTGGAAAGCTTGGGAAAGCCAGGCTGGAAGGAAGTGCCTGAGGGCATGGACCTGAAAGTTTTCAGTAAAACAAAGCCCCAAGAGAGGGCAAACTTTAGCTGCATATGGATTCTCCTAAGGAGCAAGGAGAATGAGGCTGAAGTACATTTTCCCAGAGGCTTACTTTGCTTAGAGATAGAAAGAACAAATATACCTTTTCTCTTTGGCAATCTTCTTGGCCACTTCAACACAGAGTACTAAAAACTTTTCTGCTTAATTCTATTTCTACTTTGTATTTTGCCACTTAAATAATATTACTGTAATGAAGAAAAGAAATATTCAGTTATTAAGCAAAACCACATTCTTATTTTTTGTGCTCGGCTGAGAGAGAAAAGCATAGCAAAGCTCTGTGGCAGGCCCATCAAAGTCCTGCAGCAGAGGATTGAATGAGCCAAGAATTAGAGCAGAGACACAAAAATGCAGTGAATTGCACCTTACTGCTGCTCCTTAATGCATATATATATATATAAAAATTGTGTGTTAAATGCAGCTGAAGATTAAAACTCAATATAAAATGGTGTTAAGTTACTGGGAAAATCTATTCCTTTGCTGAGTGGAACAAAATTCTGCCAGATAGAGTGAACAGTATCATATGTAATATATAAAAGAACCTTGATATACATACATAGCTGAGAACAGAAGCTGAGTGATGCATAATATCTTACTGCTAAAATCCTGATCCATATACCAAAATTTGCTAGGTCCAAAGACCAAATCCAACCTTAGGCAGTCATTCCGGGACTTAAAATGCTCACAGTATTTAGTGCTTAGCCTGCTAAGTCAGGTGGATTAGAAATACTACTAAATCAAGATGACATGATAATAGGTTTTATCTTTGTTTAAATTATTACTGAAAATGTTCTGTAATTCTTGTTATCGAATACAAGCTGCAGTGGCCATTCAGGAGTCACCCTCTCCCTAGTTAACATCCACAGGCTGATGTTTTTAAGCTGATGTTAACAGCTTTTGTCCTTGCCTAATCTGTGCTGGAGGTATGCTTGCACCCAGCCTGGTACCCTGTTGACCCTGCCTTGTTGACTTCGTTTCCTGGCTTGACCTCAGCCCTGACTCATCACGACAGACTCATCTAGCCATCACTGGACCGTTCGCTGACCCTGCTGTCTGTCACTGGATCCGCTCCGCTGCCTTGCCAGGGTTCTATGGAACGGAGCTACTGTCAGTGAGGACATTGTCCCTACATGCCTTGCTGTCACCCTCAGCTCCTGGCTCATCTTGCCTTGTGGAGCAGCGCGCTCTTAGTCCTCCACATCTTATTGTGATAGAAATGGACAGGTATTTTTATATACATATAAACAAGTTTAAGTATCAAATTTGGCATGTAGTTGACCACGAACTATTGAAGAAGATGGAGGTATATGAAATTATTTGGCTTAATATATATGCATCTTTTATAATGGACACAGAAATAGATGTGTATTTGGGTCATTATTTATTCTGGAGAATCGGAATAAATATAACGAGTGATCCTTATTGGACTTTGCAAGTGGACACTAGCCAGAGTGCTAAATCAGAACACAGTCACACTGTATAGCATCTATAGTAAAACAATGACTTTAACGTAGACTTTCATTTCAATCCACTTTTCCCTTTATTTGTCAACTGTGTTTATAGAATAGCTACCTAATATCTTACAGCAGATCCATTATTTTAGTTTACCTGGAATTTACTTAATTATTTTTAATGTGGTTAATTATTCTATATCCAGGGATGTGAAAAGTAATCTGAGAAAGAAGCATGATTATACCTCTTGAGCTCCTGTTCCATTTTCCGCTGATAGAGGGCACCCTCTCTTAAAATAGCTGCAGCATTTAATTTAATAGGTATGTTGTCAATCTGTCAGGAAAGGGAATGTATATACTATAGTTAGTAATGTAAACCATAAAACAGAGTATAAAAACATTCCAATGGGTTAAATAAATCGACCTAAGACAGCATAAATTTTGCTTAAAGCATTCATCTAGCATTAATCTGACATTCACAATGAAATTGCATGCTGTTCATAAACCACTCAAGCTGCTTAAGAAATCAGCAAAGTCCCCCAAGTGGATTATAAATTTGTAATCACGCTTGGACCATGTCAAATCCCATCGAATGTGTTCACTTCCTTTCATTTTTTTTGGTGCTCATATACATAGTGTGCAGGGATTCCATCTGCTTTGGACAAAGAAAATAAGCAGCTTCTCTGAAAGACGGTAAGTTAGCCAAAACCATTAAAGTAAACCATAAGCAGTACCTTTCATAGGAAGGTGTCAAAAGTGTTTTACAAATAATCACTATTTTAACTTCAAAATCTTTCTAAGACGACTGGCATCACCAACTGCCATATCCATTTTCTAGATAGTAGAAGTGAAGTACAGTTCTCAGTGACTTTCAGTCCTCATGGTGTAACTTGGACTAGATCCCGTGCCTGCTTTGCAGTTCTTCAAAGTATTGCCTTAGGACTAACTCCCAGACAACCTCTAAATACTGAGGGAAGAAGGGAACAATCTCTCTGCCCATTAAAAATGTTACCTGCACAAGGAGGCTGTTCAGAAAAAAATATATCACCTTTGCAGACACATATAATAGACCTGAGGCAAAGCAGTGCTGGTGGGATAAGCACTGGGATCATTCCTGCAGAAAACAAAGCTTAGTCATGACATATTTGTCCTAAATTCAGACAAGTTCTGTGTTCAGAATCCAAACATGTATTTAAATTCCAAATTAACAGCTTAATGAGTGGCTGAGAAAGAGATGCACAGAATCACTCAACCTATACACTGCAAATATTGTATGCACAAGTATGTACTGCAGTCTCCTGAAATACATAAGCTAACTGGGAAAAGGATGTTTTATAATTGATAGTAATTAGGTAGGTTGAGGATAACAAACACATGCTATCACCTAGAAAGACACTAAATAGAATTACTGTGTTTTCCACCCAGATGGCTCATTTTAATGGAAAAAAATGAATTACCTGGCTGTTTCTTGACAGAATGATGATAACTTGAAGAATTCAGGAAAAGAACCCAAAATGATGTATTTTATTTCTTTTGTTTGACTCACTATACTTACTCTTTTTAATGCCTAATGATGCCCTTCCTTCCTCTTGGCCTACTTCTCAACCCTCCTCAAAGTCTTCTGCATTATATGAACATTCCCTCTCCAGCCTGTATTTTACACACTATACTGACTTACAGTAGACATTTTCTCTGACACATGTAGAAATATTCATATTTTTGGCAATTACCTCTGTATACAGATTTCATGTTCTGTATTTACTAACTATAATTTGGATAGAGAACTAAACTAAGAATGATTACAGAAATACCTTTAACTTCAGTTTCCCAGTTTATTAAACAGAAATATGACTGTATGACAATGAAACAGAAATATGACAGCCCATATAGTCAATTTAACTAGGACTCCCAAGATATATGCAGACAGGTGCAAGTAAAATAACTGAATAGATTCTTCTATCTCATAGGGTATCAAGGAATTTTTGAATTTTACTTGTTGTTTTTCTGTCATGAGATACCTTCCCTTTTTTCAAGATGAGAAAATGGAAATAATTGGGAAAATTGCAGAACATTAATTCTTGTGGAAAAAAATTGTATTCACTACTTCCACCTAATGAACACACAATAGCTCACCAAAACCAATAAATATGTAAAGAGCAAGGTCTGATATGAGCAAGAAGCAGATTGAGACAGAGTGATGATGCATTTGTACTGTCTCATTCTTCCAGTGAAAGGGTCGAATAGATATTTTGTAACAGCAATGAGAAATAATTGCTGCTGCACATAATAAATGTGTCTGAAATGAAAAAAAAAATGTATTTAATATACTGTGGGTGTTCTAAAAAGAGGAAAGGAAAACACTAGTCGGTTAAAACATTATATAATTTCATTAATTTGAGGACAGATCATAATCTTATTTATAAATCTTGGATCAACCTTCTTCTTAGGATTTTTGTACTCACAGAGTTGCACAGGCAGGAAGGCAACAGGAATAGAAGGTATTTTAAAAGTCAATAACAACATGCCTATCTCAGCTTGCAAGTTATAGCAGCATCTTGAATGTCACCTAACCAACCTTTAAGGCAAATGTGTTTAGACGAGATAAAACTGATTGTCCTCCTAGAGGAGATACTAGCAGGTGTTAGAAGTGGCCCTGATCAATGCCATAAGATGCCAGATCCATATTTTTCTTTATGCAATTTAGGTAGATAGTTTGCCTCATATTAGTCCTAAGATTTCAGTATTTTAAATTATCAGAAAAGGAAGTGGAATATACATAGTCCTGAACTAAGCCCACATAATTACAGGTCATGCGTGTTTGGGTTAACTATGTAAATGTTTCCTCTCTTGTTTTTTTTTCCCCTCTTTTGAGTGCAGAAGGAACTGGGTTCTTACTACTTTCCTGTAATTTAAATGCTGCTGCATTGTAAGCAAGCAGACTGAATAGGTGATACTGTTATTAAAGATAACTTCAGTATGTGATAAATGCCAGATACGCTTTAGAAATAGTTGCCAGATGCCCAGTTCCCCAAGCAGGGAATGAGTCTTTCCAAAGTGTATATGAGCTGTACCTAAATACATAGTTTCAAAGAGTAGGTAGACCTGCTCGCAAGGTATTTGAGGTCACAATACAAGCACAGCTACTACATGAAATTATTCTGCATATGAACTTGAACCAAATGAAAGGTGGCAGATTGAATGATGTAAGACTGAAGATTATCTGTAGCACAGTTACTGCAGAAATAGCAATGTGAGTTTTCACGTGTTATACCGTTAAGGCTGAACAGCCCATTTTCCGTGTTTACGGTTCTCTGACCCGTGGAAATCCTACCAGAGAAGCAATCAGCATAGTGGATTTTATGACCTCAGTATGTGTCTAAAGGAAACAAGACAAACATCCAGACTGATTGTATATTGTGTATCAGACAGTCATTAGCTGGAATGATTGTTCAGCATTCTTCAGGATCTCATTTTGAAACCGTGATTTACAGACACAAGATTCTTCTGTTCCTCTGCTGAGTTCTTAAACCATGGGTTCACAGTTGTTTTTTTCCTGTGGACTATTCTCAAGCCTTACCATTTTACATAAAAACTTCTCCCTTTGGAATTGAAAACACTGTTCAGGCATTATGGTTACATTGTGCAACTGCACACAGCTTACCTGTCAGGGCACCAATAGGTCTCAGTTGCCCTGACCGGCCTCACCTAGGACCACCACTCACACCCTCTGCTCACTGGTCCAGGAGCCCTGCTTAAGCTCAGATATGGGCTTCAGTCCTTTCCCGTTATGCTGGAGGTAATTCTGCTCCTGGTTGTCTCTCCAGTTCTGTCTCCTGCTGTCATGGACCTGGGTTGCTGTTGTAGCCTCGTCTCCTGACTGGACTTCTTGGGGGGACCCCAGACCTGAGCTGTTACCTTGCTTTGTCTAAGGATGACTGGCTGCCAGCAGAACCTGTCACTACCGCCAACCTTGTCATGTTCAGATACTGTGGCCTGGTTGGTGAGGGCACTGCCTGTGCTTTCATTACCTTTGGCTCCTTGTTTCTCTTTCCTCCTGGAGGAGCAACACTCTTGTTGCTCCCTGACCTTTTCTTTGTGGATTGTTAATGGGGCATAGGCCAAAATTTATGAGCCACCGGCCCAATCCATCCCATTCTCCTGGCCACATAACTCGGTGTGAAAACATGGATTCCAGCAGAGTTCGCATCACCACAGAATTTGCATGTGTGTTTTTTCACTCCAAAGTTTTCAAGTACATCTTACAACCTTAAAGGCTACTCACCTTGCTTTGGATCTTTTGAGCCTGGAATGCTGGACTACTCTTCAAACTGTCACGTGTGTTCTGCAGTTCAAACCAAAAATACATTATTTCATTTCAGAGACAGATTTTCAAGTACTTAGCAAAAAATATTAGGTATTTACCAAAAATCACTCTTGAATATTCATCTAGAGTAACAAACACAATCATAGGGAATGTATTTTGGAATTGTTATATCCACAAAAACTTGCTATGTGCATCCAACTTAGTGGGAATATTTCATATCACATGACCATACAAAGGTAGGTCCAAATATTGACTAAAATGTGTTGACTAAAATAATGCTAAAAAAAGTAACAGTGGGGTTTTGTTTGACTATGAAATATTACCGATATATATGAATATGTTCAGCTCTTAACTGAAATAGATATTGGGAAGACAAAATAGGGTGTCAAAGCACACTTCATGAAATTATTAAATAGTGGTAGAATTCTACTGATGTTTATTAATTTAATTTTATGATAGCTATAGATAGTGATGTGAAAGTGTCTGGTGTCATGGGGATGAACACAGTGAATAGACTATGCAGATGTGATGCTGAAATGAATATATTACATACATAGTTTGGTGACATAATTGTGAACTGGGAATCAACCAAAGCAAGAATTCTGTATGAATGGGACCGTTATTCCCACAGCTTGGCTGCTCTGTGGCATAAAAGTTAATGGAAAAATAATATGTGGGTTTGGAGGAATATTGCCATTTTGGAGACTTGTTGGAGTAGTATCATAGGAAGGCTGCTTGTCTTAAAATTAGGAGAATAATAAAGCAGCACTAGAAGCTTAAGAAAAGGGGGTTGTGCATTACGCATCCAAAGAGGCAAATGTTAGTATATGGATGTGAAATGACAGTACAGCTATAAATGATAGCACATAATTCCTAACCCCAAATAAACAAAAATTTTAAAATACTTTGAGATCTCTTCAAATACACCAGTCATTTTTCATCTTCATACTGAGGGATTTTTAGGTAATAAAGTATTTTGTAGCATACCTCTCCCTTTTCAGGCTTCATGGTTGCACACCTGAACTGGTTAGTATTTGCTTTCAGGAGCAGATCCTAAAATTAAAGCAATTAGCTTGAAGATGATGGTACATTTAAATTCTCTAATAAGAATTTTCTGTCTTGAAAAGCTTTGCAGCCCAGAGCAGTATATTGACTTGTTTCCAACGAATGAAATCTTGACTTAGTATTTACATGAATTTTCATTCCTCATTAAAAACTTAAAGTAGGCAAGTTTTGATTTTCTACCTAGTTCTCTCTGCTTGTACCCTTTGCGTAGGGCATCAGGCCTTTGATAGGTCTGCCCATGTGAAAGACGTTGCTCATCCAGAATTCAATGTACAAGCCTCATAATTATCTATGGCACATCAGTACCATAGGTAGTAACTCTTTCCTCATAGCTAGCTAACAATGGCTTTGTTTTTGAGTTAAATTAGAAGACTATGATCAGAGGATCTGAGCACCAAGGGTTGCTCCACTAGGCACACCCCTACCAGTAACTCCACCTGCCATTTTAAAGGGGGAAGTACAGGCAGCCACATTTCTAGTTTTCGGATATTTCTTTTGGTTGTAAACAGTAATCTCTAATCAAAGCTGTGAAACAGATGAGATTTTCTAATGTCTTTCTGGACAGCAGCTGTCCATAACATCAGCGCTTCCATAACTGTCTAGAGTATGGCTTTCAGTGTTCTCACTCCTTACAGATGCTGAGACATGGTACTTATAATGACAGCTATAGCTTCTGCAAAAATGCTGTGAAACAAATGGCATTTTTAATGCATATTTGTTTAGGACCCAACATTTCAGCTTGTTTGGCAAACAGTCGGGGGAGCTGACCTTTGTGAATGCTTTGGATGCCTTTTATAACATTCCAGAGGTGACAAAAACTGCTGTTATTGCAGCTGTAATTTCTGTGGTGGTTTTCCTTTGTTCCTTGTATTCGTGCATTTTCTCCACTGAAGAATGTGGCTGGTAGTTATGTGATTTTATAGTTGTCATAGATTTTTGACAATATAGGCACTGTGATATCTTGCTTTTCCTCCCCAGTTTTTCTAGGAAGTTTGTACGTACAAATAAGCACACAGACAAATAGGCATGTGCTTTCTCCACAATATGGAAATAATAAAAGAATAAAAAATAATGTCATATTGTTTTATAATGAAATACCAAGCATGGGTAATGTGATGGGCCAGCAAAAGTAATGCAAAGTTTATCCTCCTAGAATCTATCACACCTTAAAGCATTTACTACAGTTTAGGAACAGAATCCAATGCCCCTTTCACAAGGACATGAGGAGAGCCCAGAACAGTGATAAATGGACTTGTATTGGCTAGTGAAAGCTAGAGTAAGGCATTTTCAGAATGGGGGTGGGAGAGTGCAGATAAAAAGGGGCCAAATAGCATGCCTTCTATCAAGCTTATACTGTTACTCGATTTGGTGTAGCGATTGCAGTGTGGGGAGGAAGAAAGAAAGTGGAAACTGACATTTAATTAATTCCCTTCCAAGGAGAAGACGACAACAATCTGCTTTAACTACGATAGGAGCTAACTCATTGAACAGGGTTCATATCAAAGTTTGGATCAAATAACTAGATCTGTTTCTTTGTTTTTCCAGGCTTTCCCTTCTCCTGCTCTCTTAACACACAGACCAGGTACTCCGCTTCTTTACAAATCATGATGACTTCCCACTTTCAGCCTGCTTAGGGAGAGAGTATGGAGTCTGCACAAAAAAGAAGTCAGAGTCTGCTGATATTTTAAAACAGTGGGTGATGACATGTGGTTATTCATCAGTTACTATAGAAAACAAACAAAAATATTGAACATATTTTGTATTTTGAAGCCTTAACTATTAAGTGAATACCTTAAATATCCACATGTCCTGTGGGAGTAAAAAAGCCATCAAACTATTTCAAGCTTGTGAAGAGAAGAAAGTAATAATGCTTCTGCTATCTTACATGGCTACTTGCATAATTTCTCACATAGTACTTGTACAGTGAATAAAAGGTGGACCTTGTCTCAGACAATTAATAATAAAATAAGGAAGATGGAAAAAGGGTGATAGAACAGAATAGAGGATACAAACTTCATGATTCTAGAGAAAGAGCCAGGCGCTATTAGGTTCAAAAGCAAATATGTTTCAGATAAAGTTCTAAGACTTGTGAAAACGGAACATTACAGAACAAGCAGTTTAGAAGAAAGGAAAGACTAGAACAAGAACATCATACACTTACTTCTGCTTTTCGGCGATTTCTTGTTTTGATTTCCTCTAGTTGCTTTTTTTCCTTTGGAGGTTTGTAGGTGCTTGGAGGAACCTATATTAAAAGGCAATAATCTCCACAATATGGGGTGTAAAACATTCCAAGTGTCACATTCTTGCAGGTAAAAAACACATTCACTTTTACTGTAGAACAGCTGCAGTTATTTTTTAACTATTTATTCTTTTCTATTAGTGCCAGTGTAGAAGACATGGACAGATTCCAATTAGCTGGGATTACCCAGGCTTTTCAGTCCTGTGCAATGTAATATAACTGCTGGACAAAAGACCAGAAAGAAAGAAAAATCCAAAACTAGTACAAGAAAGTCTTCAGAAATAATAAATCCTATAGGCCCTATCAAGGGGAAAAAGAAGTTGCCAAAAGGGGAAAAGTTCTGTTTGGCATCTCATAAACTTCATTTTCACAGCACTGAGAGCCAGATAGGGCAGCTGAATAAAGTTAAGCTGTGGAGCTCTTTGGTAAAGTGTGTGGTAGTAGCAACAAGTTACAGAGACTCCAAAGAAATTTAGGGAAAAGAAATCCTTTGAGGTTTATTAAATACTCAGGAACTTCATTGTAACTAAAGAAGTCTTTGAACTGAAATGGTGGGAGACTGAGAAGGCAGTTGGAGAAAGCAGCAGCTCTGCTTGTCCTGTCCCTGTAGTCTTCCCAGAAACCTGTGTTTGGCCACTGCTGGAGAAAATACACTGGGCAGAATGGGCCTTTGCTCTGGTCTACTACAGCTGCCCTAGTGTCCTTGTAAGGGAATACCATTGGAGGTGTAGATTAATGTTCGGAGGTGGAGGACTGAGAGGGCCCTCCTAGCATTAGTCACAGATTTGGGAAAGCATTCACATGTCAGAAAGTGCTACAGATAAAATGACCAGGAAAGATTTATAGTCTGGCTGTCATACAGATCAACAGGACACTAGGGACTGTATGCTTTTGAGTTAGGCTGAAACTTCTGGGGGATTTCAATATTTGCTTGAGCAATAAATTTTGCCCAGAAGCAAACTGAAAAAAAGACTGGATGTCTCCTTCCTATGTGGGTGAGATAGTCTGCCAGTTTACTGGACATCTGCTTAAATATTTATTTTGCTAAAAATGTTCTAGCTCAATTAGAAATTACAGAATTAATTCAAACATTAATGGGAAAAATCTATAATCTGTATTGTACTGCAGGTCAGTTTAGGAAACACGGGGATGCCATCTAGCTTTATTGGACTATGTAAAGAGCTATGCTTTCAAAAGCTCATGAATCTGATGTACTTTCCGCTGCCTTTGCTATTTGACATTATCTACAGGCAAAACAAATGCACAAACAGAAACAGCTAACAATTAAATGCACTGGTGAGACTGCTCAAGTATTTTTGTGAGCTTTTTAAGTGAAATAGAACTGAAAGTATTTCCCAGCAGTAGCTAAGAATTTTTATTATGCTTTTATGGATGGAGAAATTAAAGCCCAGAGGATTTGCAAAGGGTTGCACAGGCAGCGAGTATCAGTTTATTTCACTGTTCTTCCTAGTCATGTGCTTTACCTGCAAAACTGTACTCATCTGCCAGTGTAAGCTGAAAATCTCTCCTCAGAAACTGCTATGCTTATTCCAAGTAATTTAAGGAGGAGACTTTTCAATCAGCTCTGTTTCAAAAATGATCTTAGCCTTGTAATCTAACCCTCAGATACCATGGTGATGAGTACCAATCAGACAGATAGATAGACAATACAGCAATTACCCAGTTGCCAGAAGAGGATGAGTAAGTTACTATAAGTAAATTGTAAATTCCAGCAAGAGAGAGATCAAAAAGGCCAAACTGTACCTACTTAATCCTAATGTGAAAAAAGGGGGCTGCAGGTAAGAGACGCCAACCTTGCTTTTCCTCTCCAGCCAGTGGTCAGGCTCACCTGTGCTTTCTGGATATCCTTTTACCAGAGGTTTACTTAGGGAGTAGGTACCACAAGAAGTTTAAGGAAGAACAAAATGAATAATCACTTGAACTTTAGTAGTCATCACTCTTCTATTATTTTAAAGTTACTGTTGTAAGATGGACAAGGGCAAGTTAATGCAATGCTATTGCATTAAGAGCTTCTATTTTTATACATAACAATATCATAAAGATAAATATATTGTTGCGTCTACATATTTGCAAATAAAACCCTCTGTATTGGCCAAATGAATTCACTCATTTAATTATTTTAAACAATCAAGCAACTCCACTCATGAAGCATAGCTGAAATAATATGGAAAATGTCTAAAAAATACACCAAATTTGGCTGAATGGTGTTACAATAACATCTCAGTGTGGCCTTTTTATTTTTTTAACTACATTATTGGTTTACAGACAAACTAAATATATAATAATTGCATAATCTTATTATTCTAGTACAGTGGTGACAGTAAAAGAATGGATTTTATTTGTAACTCAAGGCCAAGATATCCAAGGAAGTTATATGTGTCCAAATCATGATGCATGTTATCAGGTTTAAGCAGCTGTCTCCATTTGTTTCCTTTGCAAACTTCAAGCTAAAGCACTTATTTTGATTGTAGAATTGTATTTATGAATGTGTGTATGCATATGTGCATGCTTGTGTCTGCATCCATGTGCTTGTGTGCAAACGACGGTGGAGAGAAGTATTTAGAATCTTTGGACCAAATATTTATAGTGAAATGTTTCATTGTTAAATCTCAAAATCGAAGTGTTTTTCCTTTTCATTTAGTGTCCCTCATTTCTGAGGAACGTTTATGATGATGAATGGTTATCCTAGCCTTCTAGGCCTATGTTACTCCAACGAAACTTCCCAAGGAGAGTCCCATCTCCATATAGATCACTGAGTAAGACAACTACCCTGCCCTTTGCAATAAGCCACATCTCCAGTCCTCTCCTGTGAAGGAAGCACGTGTTCAGTGTACAGGACAGCAGTACTATCCCAGCTCCTGAACTCAATATATGTGATACATCTCATCTTACTTTGCACTTTATCTCTACTATAGAATATAATGCAACCTAGCAGAAAGAAATACCTAAAATAATAATCGTGTTAATCAGAATGAACTCATTTCACTATAGGGATGCAATAACTTATCAGTTGTCATTGCTCAAGATCCAGACGCCTTTGTATGAATTTATACAGCTGTTTCAAAGTCAAGCAGTAACTACGGCTGTAGTTATTGTGACTACAATAGTCCCTGCTAATATGCCACATGACAAGTTCTTTGACAGATGCATGAGAGCCATGAGAAAAAATGGATATCTCATAAAACTAACAAGTTTGTGAGAAAAAGGATGAGAACATTTCTGCAGCAGATTATGGGTTGTAATCTGGAAGAGCTTTATTTCCGTGCATTCCTCTCAATTACATACAACTCTCCACCATATAGTAGCCAAAACTATGGCCTGCTCTCACTTTACTAACTCTTTCTTGCCATCTGGGCTGTCTTTTCAGCCTGTTCATTTCAGGATCTAAAATGGTGATACTGGCAAGAATATGGCAAATTAAAGTGAAGCTTAATTTGCCGAGATAGGTGCAGAAATGAGCACAACATATGTCACTACTACGCTAATGGTTTTAGATTCACACAAGCTTTTAAATTTGCAGACTTGGCCAGAATGTAAACCAAATTTAGTATAATCCTAACAACACAAATGAACTTTAGTAAATGTATCCGCATTAAAACAAATTTATTCTAAGAGGGGCTGCACGGCATAAAGGTACTAAAATGACAGCAACATGACTCATTCCTATACTGATTAAGTAGTTATTAAATGCAGTTTTTCAGAGCCTGGTATTAAGCTGTTTCAATGTAAAATCCCATTAACTGTATAACACACTACCATTAAATTGCTCTGCCATCCTAAGATGTAAATGGTTTCTAAGAGCATTCAACACATGTATTATTTAAAACCTGAAGTGCTAATACAAGGTGGCAGATAATGCCCAAAACTATGACTTTGACAATCACTTCCCACTGCATTTAAATATAGATGATTTTGGAGTCTTTATTAAGTTAGTCATAGCAGCTTGATCCCAAATCCTGTTTGCCTTACCCCAGTGAGCTAACTTAAAACCAGTTGTGTGTCTCTGATATGTACCAGCGTAACTGAATCACAATCTTAGACAATGAGTAAAATAAAAGCTTAGCATTTCAAAGATAAATGTAGTCTCATTTATACATGAGCAATAAATTTAAACCAAAAAACCTTAATTTTAGAGATTCAACATTCATACAAACAGAAAGGAATAAAATTCCACCCTCAAGGAGGAGCTGCAAACCTAGAGTCCATCTCATCTCCAGTGAAATTGCTTTGCCATTTATTTTAATGAGAGTTCATCTAAAAAAAAAATCTAACTTTACAAAAAATTTTCATTTGAATGTTCTTTTCTTACCTGCTTCAGTGCATTATCCAAAGCAAACATCTTACAAATCCAAGGACTACCAGAAACACTTGTATCAATGTTGTCATCAATTTGTACCCATTGTATAGTTCTACCTCCAAAAGTCACAAAACAACTACAGGAACCAACCTTTTCCCATTCCTTTGTTTGGCTTACAATTTGCTTACACAACATTCACTGAAATGAAAAGAATTAGTTCGGGTTTTTTTAGAAATCTGACCTTCAATAACACAGAATATTACAAAAATCCTCCTTGATCTGTTAAAGGCTGTAGATTTTCTACAATTATTTTTAAAGAGACTATTAACTCCCCTACCATGATTTTGTGCACAAGCATACATAAAACTTAATATCTCTCAAAGCATAAAAAAACTCACAGGTGGCCTTTTTTCCAGTGGTGGTATTGGCAGAGGTATAGGAATGGCACGTGGTTTGGGTACAGTCAAATTAAATTCCTTTGGCCGAGTGACCGTTGAACTCTTGACAGTGGCAGTACGATTACTTAATATATCTGTGAGTTGTTCAATCAGTTGCTGTACTTTTGGCTGCCATCTTCAAATAAAAACAGATTTTTCTATTTTATTTCAATTTTTTCTTTCATACAAACTTACATGCAGTATATGAGGTTGGCATTGGTGCAAATTCTGTAATGCTTTCAGCCATTCAGTTTTAATAAAATTGACCTATGAATTTGTACTCATGATTTAGTTGGACTGGGTTACTTCACCTCTTGATAGATGCTAAAGCATTCAGACTACTAGTGGTGAAATAACCATAGTTTTTACTGAATAAGCAACGATGTCACCAGTTTGTTTCACAGCAGGACCAGACTATGAATCAGAAAAGCAGCTGTCATAAGCTAAGTACACACTTAACATACTTCAACGAAGAGACTATGAACAAACAGTGGTCTGAGTATTGCCACTTTTACCAACTGACAGAGCACACATAAATCAATCTCATAGCGCAGGCAGTTCCAGTAAAAAAATAGAAAGATGTAAGGAGTTTGGTGAATTAGCAAATGAACCCTCAGTGAACCCTTTGGGGCAGTCAAGATGATTTTGATTTCTCTGTGATTGGATTTTGACTGGTATGAAGGTTCAGACTTCTTCCAAGGAATGTCAGGAAGGTGCAGAATTCAAGGTAAGACACAAACAAGTTATCACAGGACTAATTATGGAGACAGCTTCATGTCAGTTATTCCTCCTCTTATATGTGTTCTATACTTAAGTATTACACATGCAATGGAGCTTTCCCACAACTTAAAAAGCAGCAGACAATGCAAATTTACAGTAACTTGTTTATGTGACTGTTACCTTGGCTAGTACTGTCATTATGGGATGAGGCTTGCAAGTAACTTCTGCAAGTAATGCAGCTCCATTAAAATAAATAGGACTCTTTATGTTAACCTCGTTGACATTAGAAAGAGGAATACAAAGACCTATTTAAAAGAATGTAAGCTACTGAACTGATTAAACTGATCAATGCATCCTCAGCCCCTTGAAAGAAGTTTCAAACCCAGTAACCAAATATGGTCTTTAACATTCTTGCACAACTTACATTTACTACTTTTAGGCAAAACACATGTTCGTTACATTGAATGTAATTCACTGTGAAGGACAGCTCCAATAAGCTTAGTGTTAATGAAACAAGCAACAGATTAAGCATCTGCCTGCGTGCATATGTACATATAAAAAGTGCATGGATATAGAATCACAGAATCGTAGAATATCTCAAGTTGGAAGGGACCCAGATCTTTTTAAGTCCAGCTCCCTGCTCCTCGCAGGACCAGCTAAAAGTAATACGTGTGTATATCTCTATCTATACATCTCTATCTGTATCTTTAGACTATTGTAAGCATGTGTTATAATTAGAATTACTACACTGGAATATATTGAGTCAAATTCTGACTTCAAATATATCCCTGCAGTTCCTGTAGAAGTCAGTGGAATTTGGAGTATTGCAAGCCAAATCTATACTGTACATTTGCTAATTTGGCATAAACTACATAGTATGAAAGGATTAATTCTACTGGCTTTGATATGACAGTTAGAACTAGGTGCAAACTCTTTTTCAGCTGACATTGTAAGACATTTTTGTCTAACAGTGTTTGCCATCATCTGGGTTAATCTATACTGCAGTGAGGAGGATGCGTAATTGCAGCCACATTGGTATACCAATGCTAGTTCTAATTTATCTGTCCTGGATAAAAACAAGAGTGAAAAAGCGACACAATAGGCTGCAGAGCTACTGTTTCTCCACATGAAAATGTTCCACTTTGGCAAGGGTGCTCATGCTACTGTATCACCACCTAACCAATGTGTGAACACACCTGGCACCTCAGACATTTAAACTGTTAAATGATGCTGCAATTGTGTAAATAAGCAATAATTTTAAAAGACTTGTTTACATGCTTATCTGATTTGCTCAGAAGGGATTTTACGACCATCGGCATAAACAAGTCTGTGCATAAAGCCAAAGTCAGGGAAGTAAAACATCTTTTTTCAAATGCTTAATGTCATACAGATGTTGAAGTGACTTATGAGGCACAAGTCTAACTCTGCAAGATAATTTGAACCTTCTGTTTCTTTTTTTTCAGAGTACGATGTTTCATCTATTCAGGGGCACTGAGAAACAAATGTACAACAGCTATGAAAGGACTTTTCTATGAGAGAGCCTTGCCTCTGTGTACGTAAAAGGGATTACTATAGTCTTATGAAGACAAGAAGGGTTCTGAGTGACTTCCATAGGAGAAACACTTTAACAGCAAATTGAACTTTCAGCGGAAGCTTCCCCCAGCATTTAAACTTTGAGGCGGTGACAGGCTACTTAAGTGCTGCTTACCTTAGCAGTGGGTCAATCCAGTTCTCTTTTACATACAGTGAATCGTAGAACTGACTCCATTCATCTTTTATCCACGTGTTCAAATACAAGGCATTGAAGAAGAATCTAAGAAACTAATAATAAGCGATTTCTTTTAAACATGAATACCGAAGGTATGGTGTATATAAGACTACGAAAAGTTAGTTGCTTTTACTACAAACATTGCTGAAGAACTTGCTTGTATTTTACCCTGTAGTTATAATCATAGGTGGTCGATACTTGTAGGTTCTTCTTAGTTCTGTTAGGACAGCCCCATGTCTTTCAGCCCTATTTTGTGAAACACTAGTAGGCACTAAAATATTTTTAGTGGCTTAAAAACAATCTAGACTACAACATGGGAATGTGTTGATGCATCTTTAATTTGCTTCAAACGTTGTAAAACAAAAGCTTTTATTCAAAATTAAAGTAATTACTACTGCAATACCCTGATTTTAGTATAATTATCAATAGAGTTTGAGAGTCTAATATAGCCACAATCAGCTCCTGATTATCTATAGCGAGATGATCCCTGGTGCCCAGAAACATCTCAGGCCTGGTCCTGCACCTGAATTACTTATGTTCCTTTCAGCTCCCTGGGAACTGGCCAGGGGGAACTGCTGAGAACTACACTAACTGCTATACAATATGGTTTCTTCTTTTATTGAAATGTAATTAATTGGCATATTCCCATTAAACTAGAAGACTGAAATTTGGCACACTTACACACTGTAGGGCTCTACATGCTGGAGAAATAGCAGCTAACATTTGAACTTGTGTTTCCCACTGGAGTTCACCAGAAGGTCAAGAGCCTTTCTTTAAAACTTGAACTGCTCAAATGGCCTTTTGAAACAGACTCTTGAAAAATGGCACTCAGATTCAGCGTGTATCATTTACAGCAATATAAATTCCAAACTTGAACCGGAACTTTTTCATTAAGATTCTTGGAACTGAAAGTACAAGCAAGCATCATGCTGAAATAATCACAATAATAGAAAAAAGCACACTAAATAATATTGACATTATGAGACATACTGGAAAGCAGTGTGCAGTCACTTGAGAAGCTTCTAATGGAGGCTGCAGAGCTTATTAGTTCAGACTTGGCATCAGCCCCGTCTTGGGTTGGTTTCCACAGAGCCATATAGGTCTTTGTATTGAGCTTTTGGTTCTGGAGGACTACCAAGGAGCTTCTTAATTCACATGTGGTGTCAGGCCCAAGGTGGCTCAGAGCTTTGTGAAGAATTCAGCTATAAACAATTCAGATTTGACTCAAGGTGTTTGCTGCAGATGTTCAACAGATGTAAAAAGTCTGCTACTTGAAATCTGTAGTCTTGATGTGACCATTTCCAAGGAATTAACCTGTAAATTTAGTTTTATTTTCATCTATTGTGCTTTTGGTAGAGTCAAAAGACTGATCAACAACTGAAGGACTAAATGAATATTACCCCCTTGGATTCCCATTCTTGTCTAGAAACTACTGCTCTTCCACAAAACTGCAGATGCTGGCATATCTACACACCACCCAAAAGAAGATACTTCATCCCTAAAAGCATGATTATAAACTAAGTTTTGAATTGTGAAGAAGTTGGGTTTTTGGTGCTTCCAGATTCAGTGGAGTTTGCTAAGTGTATGCTAAGGGACGCACTTCATCCCATTGGTCTAGAAACTCATTCATTCTCCTTATGGAGAATCTTTCTCTGTAGTGCATGCATGATGGATTACATTTTTCAACTAACATAGTAATTTGTACTTCTGCAATGTATAAATAAAACGCTGGAAGTCTAGACAGAGTTCATACTTTCCAACAGAACTGATGCACTGTATATACAGTACTTCTACCAGCTATTGTAACAAAATCTTACATCCAGGTATCCCAGCTGGATATATGATTATAGACCCAGAGAACATGTTCCCTGCTGAAGTACTCTTTTTACCTTATGGAAGGCCCTGACTATACACAAAGTTTATAAAAAATGTGGTTTTAAATCCATGTAAGCAAGTGTTTATACAGGGGTGGATTGAACATGAGCTGATATACTTAAAATGAGGCAGACCCTGAGGGGTGAAGCTAGTTTCAAATTTCTAGGTATTCAGAGAACTCACAGAAGAAGTTGATATAGAAATACTACAGGTGGTGATTTGTAAATCCTCCAGTTTTCTTTTACTAGCTTTCATTAAGCTGAACTCCTCCTCCCTCTCTACGTCCTCAGTATTCCTCTTTTACAGCCTAGTCCATCCTCAGAGGCTTCAATCAGTTGTTTACTACATTGCCACGTGAAACTAAGCTTCTGAACTGTTGTTTGAGCTCTCCCTGACTGATCTTCTCCATTTAGGTCTTCTAAATATTTGCTGTAACTCTCTTTTACAAAGTTCTTGCAACTCAACTGCCTCTTCAAGGCAGATGAAACTATAATAAAGGCACACAGTTAGTGATTTCTAGCTGTTGTATTTAACAGCTGGCTATTACCTCTTGAGGCCTCCTACTGCAACAGCAGTTATGTACTGGTTATTAACATTTCACACTTTATTAAGACAAATGGGTAATTATGTCATTGATAAATGCTATGATGTACTCCTATGAGGTACAGAGAATGGATAACTGTGTAATCAGATATCAATACTGTGATGTATATTTTAGTACTGTTTTAGTCACAGTCCCCAGACAAATGCTACAATAAGGATATGCCCCAATACACATCATGCTAGAGAAGGCTTTGAATGCTGCCCTGGAACCATTATCCAGGCAATGCAGGGATTGCAAATGGCAATGCAGGATTACCAGACATCATTTCTGACTAGAGTCTGCTGGGCGAAAGTCCACAACCTTGCTTTTGATAACCCATATCAATGATGATGGTGAATGTGGGCAGAATAAGACCCATGAAGCCATAGCACATTTCATTTCTTAACAGCAGAAACTCTTGCATTTTGTGAACTGAATTGCTAGGAAAAATCCCTTACATTTCTGTTTTGTCTTTGGCCACATGTGGCATAGGTGGCAACCCCAGTATCAGCAGTCATTGCTTTCATGGCAGTAAAATGCGGCTTGAAGTTCTCAGAGATTTCTGTTTGGATGTTACCAGTACCCGTCTCCTTAGAGAAGTTACTGGACAGCCATTTTGGCAACAGCATTATTCTGCTTACTCTTCTGCCTTGAATGTTCCAACAGTTTCACTACTCACAGAGCATAATAACTGAGATTCATTTCCCTTCTAGGAGTGGTGGAATTACACCAGAAATTAATTGTACCCGTTTTTACTATTTTAACGTACTCTGGCTGTAGTAGGACAAGCATGTATAATTAAAGACTGTTTTGTAATGCTTTTTTACAGGTAGTTTGAATTAATACCTTGCTTTTGAGAATGCGAACATGCCCTTCTAATATTCTTAACGTATTTTTACACAGTGGGATTGTATAGATTTCTAAAAAGCAAATTAAAAAAAGGGAAGTTTCCTCATCTAGTATTATCTTTACATCCATGTAGTCATTTGCAGAGCTGAAATCCTTATATTCACAACATAAGCGTTTGACTCTTGAGTTAAGGAAGTAACTGCAAGCAACAGCAGGTTCTGTTTCTCCATACAGCTCAGCCAATACCTGAGAATGCTATTATTTTGGCTGTACACACCCACAGCTATTTGCTGTAGTAGCAAAGGCAATCAAGGAGGTTCCTGTCTACTCTTTTCATCTGCTGATTCTTTCCCTCTTATTGTAGTTTAGTTCTTCAGCTATGCCAGCTCAACCACCTGTAGGATTGTACCTTTCAACTGCAACAGAGAAACGAAGATGAAGGTAAGAAGCTCTGAAAAAGGCTTTCCTATGAAGAAATCGTAACGGGCAACTCTATTTTGAGGATCCTGTGCTAAAGGTGTAGAGAAAAGTGCCCTAGCATGGTCTCAGGTCCTTCTGCCATTATCTGACCCACCTTGGACTTTTTTTGCCCCCGTGTCCACCATGAGGCTGATCTAACAACAGTTAGAATACCCAGTTCTTATATAGTGATTTTCCTTTGCAGATCTCAAAAGTTCTTTATAAAGGACTTCACTGCTGTTAGAAGCAATCAGAACAGAAACAGAACAAAACAGGTTCTTGAATGCTAGAAAGAAAACACTAGTTATTTTGCATTTTTTTACAACGCAATTATGAAATTATAAAGCTGTTTACTTAAACTTTTTATTTCAACAGTGTATTTTCTCTAACACATAAACCCTTAAATTTTACAACAAATATAAAAGAATAACATGTATGAATAATAGTACAGGAAAATAGGCTTGACCTAGCAATGCATAGTTAAGTTCTTATAAGAACAATCACACTAACGTTACAAAATCAGGTTTTATCCTATGGTTTTGTACTTATACAACCATAAAGAATTTTTGCATGTATTGTTAACATTACAGAATGAGATGTTATGATTTTCTGTTCAAGCAGATGAACATGTGTTAGTGAGGTAGCATTATTATTCTGCCTGGATATTCTGCCTAAATGAAAATATTTGAACATGCATCCATCATAGGGAAACACTGTGACTTTGATTCGAATGGATTCTATCATGCAGTCCTTTAAGAGAAAGGTCTACTCACACAAGTCAATCTCATTCAACTGAATAGTCCATTTAATTTCATGAAGACTACTCATTTGAGTAAGGTTTATCTGCATGATTAAGAAAATTCCATTTGGCTTGTGATATGCAGAAAAAATAATTTTTTAGTTAAAGTAAATCTGTTCTAAGTACATATATGTGAATAATTTTTCTGCATCTCAGCTGAGCTCAGAGACAATAGTCATCAGGCAAAATCTACAGGTCAGCATCCTGAAGGAGAATCCCAAATTTCTGACAACTTCTGTTGCTAAGGCTGCAGATCTGCCTTCTGCTGTTTTTGTCTCTGTTGCTGGGGGGACCAAATGCTGCTTCTAAATCCTCTGCTGCAGGTGCATTAATATAATCTAGCATCACTTCGGAGACAAAGAACCTCTTCTAATGCAACAGAAGAAAACCTAGGTGCCATGGTGACGAGGATCTGATGAGATACTTAAGCAAACAAAGTTACATCTACAGGTAAAAAAGTAGCAGGTGAAGACCATTTAGAGAAGTGCAGCACTTCCCTATCAGAACAGAGTTACTCCAGACAAGGAAGGAGAAATTATCTGAAACAGAACATCAGGGCATTGACATTTAAGCCATATAAAGCTAGGTGAACGGAATCAACAAGAGATAACTGGCACGGAGTGGGAAGATTGTGTTGCTAGCTGAATGAGCTCAAGATGCATCCAATCCAGGGGCTTGTGTCTAAGATGGTTTACCAAAAAGGGGCTGGGAGAGCATTTTAGACAGAGTGATTTGTCTGTCTACCAGATTATGATAATTCTTCCAGCCACTTCACTGTTCTTTCTAACAGTTCATGAAATGTATCATTTCTGTCTCTGAATGGAATGAATAAAAACCATTCCATAGTAAGCCCACCAAAACAAAGTGAATAGAGTGTATCTAAAAACGTTATGCAGAGTAATCAGTATAAGGATAAACCTCAGCCTTTTGAGTACCAATTACTAAAATTTGCCTCTCTCTCTCTAATTCCACATTTGTTATTCAAATGCTGTGTTGGGACTATGCTTTGAAACATCTGGATGATTAAAGTTTACATATGCTGTGTCACCAGTAATTTAATTTTTAGCCTTTTTACCAACGAAAACAGGGTTAGCCTATTTACCTAAGAAAACAGGGCTTATGAGAAAGCATTGCTGCTCAGTTTATCCCTCTCCCCCTCTTTACAACATAGCTTTTAAGATAACCAGCACTTTCAACCATTTTGAAATAGAAGCAGAAGATATTTATATTTCTACAAATGTCATGAAAATTAGCAAACAAGTGGTGGAGTGGAACCCAGGTTTGCGACTCCAGAGAGGAAAAGGCAGGCAGAACTTTGTTGTCATGCTTTCTATTTGGCAGCAATGGTTTGGTCAATTGCATATATAATGGGGTATAGTAATGGGGTATAGTTCCAAATGAGCAATTGTTTTTTGGGAAGGAGAAAAAACGAGGGAAGGACTATAGCCTTGATAATCGAAGTGGTAGTGGGTTGTTGTCATGGTTTAACCCTAGCGAGCAACTAAGCACCACACAGCCGCTCGCTCACTCCCCTGCCCCTGGTGGGATGGGGGAGAGAACTGGAAGAGTAAAAGTGGTGAGAAAACTTATGGGTTGAGATAAGAACAGTTTAATAATTGAAATAAAATAAAGTAAAATAATAATAGTAGTAGTAGTAGTAGTAGTAGTAGTAGTA